TCCCGGGGGTCCCAGGGGTCCCGGGCGTCCCGGGGGTCTCGTGCTGCCGCGTGTGCGGCCAGGCCGGGGCCGTGGTGATGTGCGACCGCTGCCAGCGCTGCTTCCACCTGCACTGCCACCTGCCCGCGCTGCAGGACGTGCCCAGGTACGGGATCCGCTGGGATCCGCCGGGATCCGCTGCCCCTCAGCACCTGGGATCCAGTGCCCCGTGTCACCTCCCTGGGATCCAGTGCCCCGTGTCACCTCCCTGGGATCCAGTGCCCTGTGTGACCTCCCAATGTCCCTGGGATCCAGTGCCCCGTGTCACCTCCCTGGGATACAGTGCCCCGTGTCACTCCCTGATGTCCCTGGGATCCACTGCCCTGTGTCACCTCCCTGGGATCCACTGCCCTGTGTCACCTCCCTGGGATCCAGTGCCCCGTGTCACCCCCGATGTCCTTGGGATCCACTGCCCTGTGTGACCTCCCAATGTCCCTGGGATCCAGTGTCCCGTGTCACCCCCCCAGGATCCACTGCCTCGTGTCACCCCCGATCTCCCTGGGATCCACTGCCCTGTGTGACCTCCCAACGTCCCTGGGATCCACTGCCCCATGTCACCTCGCTGGGATCCACTGCCCCGTGTCACCTCCGATCTCCCTGGAATCTACTGCCCTGTGTGACCTCCCAACGTCCCTGGGATCCAGTGTCCCGTGTCACCCCCCCAGGATCCACTGCCTCGTGTCACCCCTGATGTCCCTGGGAATCCAGTGCCCCGTGTCACCTCTGATCTCCCTGGGATCCACTGCCCCATGTCACTCCCCGATGTCCCTGGGATCCACTGCCCTGTGTCCACCCCTTGGGGGTCTCCGGGCACCAATCCCAGGGGATCCCATTCCTGATCCCTCGATCCCAGCCCCGCGGGGATCCCTAAGCGCCGATCCCACATGGTCCCATTGCCGATCGCTCAATCCCAGCTGAGGGGATCCCCGGGCATTGATCCCGTGTTATCCCATTGCTGATCCCAGCCCTGTGGAGATCCATGGGTGTCGATCCCATGTGATCCCATTGCCAATCCCAGCCCCACGGGGATCCCTGTGTGCCGATCCCGTGTGATCCTGTTCCTGATCCCTCAATCCCAGTGCCGTGGGGATTCCCGGTCACTGATCCCGTGTGAGCCCATTCTTGATCCTGGCCCCATGGGGATCCCTGGGTGCCAATCCAGCGTGACCCCGTTGCTGATCCCAGCCCCGCGGGTATCCCTGGGCGCCGATCCCTCGATCCCAGCCCCACAGGGAACCCCGTGTGCCGATCCCTGGATCCCAGCCCTGTGGAGATCCATGGGTGTCGATCCCGCGTGATCCCGTTGCCAATCCCAGCCCCATGGGGATCCCCGGGCGCCGATCCCATGTGATCCCAGCCCCGCGGGGATCCCCGTTGCCGATCCCTCGATCCCAGCCCCGTGGGGATCCCCGTTGCCGATCCCTGGATCCCAGCCCTGTGGAGATCCATGGGTGTTGATCCCGTGTGATCCCGTTGCCAATCCCAGCCCCGCGGGGATCCCCGGGCGCCGATCCCTCGATCCCAGCCCCGCGGGGATCCCCGGGCGCCGATCCCGCGTGATCCCGTTGCCGATCCCGCAGCCCCGAGTGGACGTGTTTGCTGTGCCAGGAGCTGCCCCCGCCCCTGCCGGAGCCGCAGCCGGAGCCAGGCCCCCCCCTCAAGCTGAGCCCCCAGGACCAGCAGGTGAGGCCGGGCTGATCCCGCCGGGTCGATCCCGTGGGATCCCTTCCCTCGGGATCTCAGCGCCGATGCCGACCCCGCAGCGCTGCGAGTTCGTCCTGCTGGAGCTGCTGTGCCACGAGCCCTGCCGGCCCCTGCAGCGCCTCTGCAGCTCCCCGGTGAGCGGCCGGGATCTGGGATCTGGGATC